GTCATGTGGAATCATTACAGATGATGAGGAGGTGCAGTAGAGTCCCATTCTTCCAACCTTCCATTGTGCAGCTTTCCATGTGCAGTCACCAAGCAGCGCACAAGGGCCCAGACACAGACGATTCCTCCAGTGGCTACTAGATGACACTGCAGCTTTGCACTTCCTCATTCTAATTATTCTAATTTATGATTATCTCACCTGGCCCTGGTCCCAATTCAATGTGACAAATGGGGCTCTGCTGTGTAATAGCTGGAACAGTCAGTTTTATTGGTATTTTATTATGTTTAAATCATTAAGAGGAACAACTCCTTAGCCCACAGGCAGGTAAGATATGGCCTGCCAGGCCTTTCAGTCTGGCCCATGGCCACCCCGCTGGGATTCTCACGCAGGAAGGAGCCCCACGACTCAGAGTGGCTGCTCCATCTGCCTTTCTACACAGAGATGATGGGGAACCTTTGCCTGCTGCCCCATCCCCAGTACAATCATTCAGCTCCCATTGGCTGGTTCCCATTGGCTGCCTTTCACTCAGTCACAGTTTCTAAGCTCCTATTTGCCAGAACCAGCCAATGTGAACTGCAAGATTGTGCTAGGAGCAGGGGCCGTGTGTATATATTCCTCACCCCACAAATACACAGAGAGGCACATGGAGTAGCTGCTCGGGGGCTGTGGCAGGCTGACACAGGGGCCCATTGGATTGCTGGCTGGGAGCTGTCTAGGTAAGCACCTCCTGGCCAAAGCCTACGTCTAGCACCCCAACTCTCCTGCACTCTAACTCCCTGTCCTAGATCACCACATCCTCCTGCTCCAGGTCACCATCCAATGCCTCCCTACCCACTATTCCCAGCCATAACTCCCTCCCAGGCCCAGCATCCTCTTCTATACCTCTCCCCCAGGCCAGAATCCTCTCCTATGCCCACATCTTTTCCTTGATCCTGCACCCCAATTCCCTGCCCCAGGTCACAACCCCCTCCTCCATGCAAACTCCCTCTCACACCCATACTTTCTTCACACCAGTACCCTAGCCTTAGTTCCCTTCTGCACCCACTCTCCGTTATAGATCCTGCACCCCCTCCATAGAAAAGTGTAGCCCTTGACCACTTACCAAAACCTCAGAGCGGCCTCCCATCAAAAATGATTGCCCATCACTGGGCTACAGATGCTAAGTACCATATCTTACCACAAGTCTGCTTCCAAAACTAGAACATAAGAATGGCCATATTGGGTCAGACCAAAGGTCCATCTAGCCCAGTATCCTGTTTGCTGACCGAGGCCAGGGATACCATTCCTACCCATCCTAATCACCATTGCTGGACCTAACTTCCATAAATCTATCTAGCTCTTTTTTGAATCCTGGTAAATTTCTACCCTTCACCGCATCCTCTGGCAAGGAGTTCCACAGGTTGACTGTGTGCCGAGTGAAGAAAAACTTCCTTTTGTTTGTTTTAAACCTGCTGCCTCTTAATTTCATTTAGTGATCCCCTAGTTCTTTTATTGTGGGAATAAGTAAATAACTTTCCTTATTCCAGGGGTGGGCAATAATTTTTGTTGGGGGGCACTCCAAGATTTTGGAAAGTGGTTGAGGGCTGCACTCTTCCATGATATTAATAGAGATGTGGGGTCTGGAATGGAGGTTGGGTGTAGAAGGGAGTTTGGGTTAAGGGACTGGGGTGCAGGAGGGAGACTGGAGTCTGGGAGGGAGTTGGGATGAAGCAGGCGATTATGACCTAGGATAGGAGGGGATTGTGGTCTGGGGCAGGAGATTGAGGTGCCAGATCTGGGAGGGGGTATGGGTGTAAGAGGGGGACAGAGGGTTTGGGTATGTTGAGTGGGGGGACAGAAAGTTGGGGCAGGAAAGAGCGGGGGTGCCAGAAGCAGGCTGCGGCCAAGAGACTTACTTGCCAGCTGCCAAACTAACCTGCCTGCCTGCAGAGCTTAAAATGTTTCCCAGTCAGCCAGCCTGCTTGCCAGGCCATGTGCTTCATGAATAACTGAGCCCAGGAGACAGGCGTGATTCTTCTTGGCTGCCTGTTATTCTGACAAGCAGCTCCCATTGGCTGGTTTCTGCCAGAAACCGTGCAATGGGAATGTGCTGGGGGTGGGGCAGCTCCTAAAACTTCCCCCCTCCCCTCCAGTTTTAAAACAGAAAGAGACTCCTGCAGTTGCATTTCAGCACGGGGCTCTGGGGTAAGCTGGGGAGCCTGCCTGGGGCTTCCTGCTGCCTCCAGGGGACAGATCCAGTGGCTTGGTGGACCAGATCTGGCCCATGGGCTGTATTTTGCCCAGGCCCGCCTTATTCATTTTTTCCATACCAGTCATGATTTTATAGACCTCTTATCATATCCTCCCCTTAGTTGCCTCTTTTCTAAGCTGAAAAGTCCAAGTCTTTTTAATCTCTCTTCATATGGGACAGGTTCCAAACACCTAATCATTTTTGTTGTCCCTTTCTGAACCTTTTCCAATACCAAAATATCTGTTTTGAGATGAGGCAACCACATTTATATGCAGTATTCAAGATGTGGGCATACCATGGTTTTATATAGAGGCAGCACTGAAGTTAATATTAGGTTTTATATATAAATATACCTAATATTCCCAATAGGAGTTTTTGAAGTCTGTGGGAGTCAATGATAAGATATCTCCAAATTCCTGCCAGTCATTATATCAGAAAGGTGTTTAAAATTCTTTAGCAATGTCACGGTCTCTTTTTCTTGTGCAGTATTGGATATTTTCTTAGTATGTGATTTTGAAATCAGAAGGGCTCAGACTTGAAAATTCAACTTTATTCATTCAGATAGTCCCATTGTGATGAGTGGGGTAATACAGATAAATAAGGATCGCATTGTCTGATCTATTTTTTGCATGGAAATTGGAACTTCTCAGTCAAAGTATTTTCTAGATAGGCATCTGATTTTTATAAGGTTTGTGTTTGGTGGTGGATATTTGTACTGTGGAGAAATTGTCATTGTAGTTTTTCTACACACCCTTTCTCCTCTTCCACAGTGAAGCAAAACAGAAATAAAAAATAGTGTTTTACTGAGTTCATAGAAGAACTTATGAAAACATAAGTAAATGTATATTAAATTCAGTATTTTTCAGTTTTGGAAAGCTAGATTATATTTTTTCTTTGCTCTCCACTGTAGAGTAACTGAGCATGACTGATTTAATAGAGAACACTAATTCAGAACAGGTTTATTTTTAGTAGTAATATAATCTTGTCCATATTTCATACTTCAATTTTAGCGAGACATTTATGCTGCTAAAAGTCTGACTTTCATTTCAGGACTATAACAATATAAGTCATATCTGAGATTTTATTCTCCTGGATATCAAAATATTTCACCTTAGTTCAAATTTGCAATTTCTGCAGACAGAAATGGCATCTTTTCACTTTGGATCAATTTATCAAAACTCAGAAAAATAACAAGCAAAATTTTCATAATAAATAGTGACTTTCCTACTTTGTCTGACTTGTGGATTTTTGTGAATTTGCCCTGTTGTGCCTTTTATTAAACCACAGAAACTGTTTACATTGTATGCTTTCTGTTCCTTGATAGTTCGAATGGTTTTGTTGTTAGTTTAAACAAGCGTGCCCTTCATAGACCTGCTAGCTCTTTTTCATCACTTATTTTGGTCTTTCTGTGAATTGCCACAAACTGGTAAGACTTCATCTCTGAATATATTTTTCACTAGTACTATTCATAAGTTACTCAGAACAAAGGCTTACTTAACATGCTTCCTTCTTTTATAATAGTATTAGAACATTTACCCACTGTTGCTCCTGTCTTTAACTCAATTTTTTTCTTCATTTAAATCATTGCTCTGAGGTTGGGCTGGGATGAGGGGTTCAGTATGCAGGCTGCCCAAGGGAGAGAGCACAACCCCAACCACCTCTCATTACAGCAACTTGGGGCCAGATGAGACACACCTCTCCATGGCTGCTGCACTCCAGTGGGGCACAGCTGAGAGAGGCGTACATGTCCCCTGGTTAGGGACAGACACAGAGACAGAAAAGCTCTCTCAAATATAAAGTAGATAGTTGTCCCTTTTTCCACCCTTGTCCTTTGGTGCCCCAATAGGGTTATAGCTGTCTTGGTCTCCATGCTCCCCCCACCGCCTGTGGTCATTATACAGTATAATTGTTCCTGCTTTCCATCCCCTATCTGCTGTTGCCCATGTGTGGTCATTATATAGCAGAGGCCTCCCTTTCTGTTTTATGAGAAACAATACCATTCCGGGTGCATCCCATTTTCCTGTCACAACGAAACCCTGGCCTTTAAGCTATGATAAGAGGAAACTGCATACTAAATTTGGCGGGTCCTAGCTCTTACTATTTAGGAGAAGTTTTTCAACAGACAGACAAACTCTCTTAAATATATAATAGATGGGGAGGATTTAAAAGTTTGCAAACATGTCTTGCATCATCTCAAAATACCACTTTTGGGATTTTTTTAATATTGTTGTCATTTTACACTGTTTAGAAAAATGACAAATATGTAGCATGTGACTACGAAGTTGAGATGCATTGGAAAAGGTATGCAGATCAGATCTCCAGAAGTGTTTCACAGTAGGTGGGAGCCAAGATTATTTAAGTATATCATGGGGAAGCTTTTCTCCTATTTTGCTGGCAAAACAAATTTTGACAAATGAATTGTATACTGCCTTGATTTTGGTGTGGTAAACCCCTGATATACTCCTGGAACATAAATATTTTAATTGCTCAACATAAAAAAGAAAACTATGTAGTAAAATGCATTCATAATCACAGAAAACAGATGGATAGTCCTTTACTTACTCTATTGTGTAGGCTATCTGAGATTGTACTCTATAATATGTGAAAATCAAGAACTTTTCTTTCCCATGAATCAGATGAAGATCCCTACTTTGCGGTGCTACTGGGAAACAATATACTCTTGATTTTTGTCCTTTCTTGGTGTATCTTGAGTTTAGTGAAACAGTAATTTAATGTAAAATATTACAGCGGCTTTCATCTTGTTTTTTAGGTCCATGGGGCAGGTGTATGGGAGATGAATGTGGTCCAGGTGGTATCCAAACACGAGCAGTGTGGTGTGCTCATGTGGAAGGATGGACAACTCTTCCCACAAATTGTAAACAGACAGAGAGGCCTGAGAACCAACAGAACTGTTTCAGGGTTTGTGACTGGCACAAAGAACTGTATGACTGGCAGTTGGGCAGCTGGAATCAGTGCCAGCCTGTTATTTCAAGGAATCTTGAAAAGCCAGTGGAATGCATCAAAGGGGAAGAAGGAATCCAGCTGAGAGACGTAACCTGCGTCCAAAAATCAAATGGGGTTTCTGCTGAGGATGTCATCTGTGAGTATTTTGAACCAAAACCACGCCTAGAACAGGCATGCCTCATCCCTTGCCGCCAGGACTGTATTGTGGCAGAGTTCTCCCCCTGGTCAGAATGCTCCAAGACATGTGGCAAAGGGCTTCAACATCGAACTCGTCACATTGTTGCTCCACCTCAGTTTGGTGGTTCTGCTTGCCCTAACCTGACTGAATTTCAGATCTGTCATTCTCCCCCATGTACTACTGAAGAAAGCATGTATAGCCTGAATGTGGGACCCTGGAGTACATGTTCCATGCCCCACTCAAGACATATAAGGCAAGCAAGGAAACGAGGGAAGAATAAAGAAAAGGAGAAAGACCGAGAAAAAGGGGTACGGGATCCTGAAGCTCGGGAACTTATTAAGAAAAAGAGGAATCGAAATAGACAGAGCAGACAAGAGAACAAGTATTGGGATATACAGATTGGATATCAGACCCGACAGGTTACATGTACTCACAGAAATGGGAAAACTGCTGCCTTGAGGTAACCACTGTTTATTAACTTGAACATCTGTGTCTGTGTAGTTGGAACTTTAAGAAAAGCATGAATAATCTAATAATTTTACTGTGGTATCCATTTACGTATCAGCATAACCTTACCTTGTCTTGTTTAAGATTTTTTAATAATACATTTGAAAAAAAAACATAGCACAAGTGGTATGCTCATACTAAATATCACGTAAACATGCCATATTAAGCATTATACACCATCTAGCCTCTGTTTGTCTAAATATCTATCCCAGAAGGTTTACTGAAAGCCCGAGGTTATTCATCAAATGTGTGTTCTGTTTCTCTGGCATTTTTGGCACATTTTTATTCATAACAAGTGAATCATGTTTGAAAACAGATGATGTCTGCATCATTGTTTTTAAATCTTTGGGTGCACACAGTAATAGGGCTGATGGGGGGAACTGTCTGTCAGACACTAGGAATAGAATCTCAAAAAAGTCAACATCTACTCCAGAATTTTTGTTTTTGAAATGCAAATGAATGAAGTACTGTTTACCCTTTACACAATCTGTTTCTTTTATTGGTTTTGTTTCCTATGGTTTAGTTCCCCAAAAATACTTTATCAAAAATGTGCATTTTACTTTTGAATATTTGTATTCATTTTTTTCTCCTTTTGCATCTTCCATATTCATGGGCACAAAAACTCTGCATTTTAATATGGTCAAATGTAAAGAGATGCATGTAGGAGCATACAATACTAGCTATGCTGACTGGATGGGAGTAGAAGTAGTGACCTTGAAAAGGATGTATGGGTTTTGCTGAATAATCAGCTAAGTGTGAGTTTTGGGTTCAACACTGTGGCCAACAGGACTAAAGAAATCCTCCGACATAAAAACAGGGGAATATCAAGTGAGAGTTGGGAGGTTGTATTACCATCTCTGAATTTGACGCTGGTGCAACTGCTACTGTTTTTGTTTTGATGTCCACTATTTAAGAAGGATGTTGATAAATTGGAGAAACGGAGAAGAGTCATTGGAATGATTAAAGGATTAGAAAACATGCCTTATAATGACAGATTCAAGGAGCACAATCTATTTAGCTTAACAGAGAAAAAGGTTAAGAGTTGCTTCAGAGTTATTTCTTCACAGTTTGTAAGCACTTCTCTGGGGAACAAACATTCTAAAAGAACCTCTTTAGTCTAAAAGACGAAGATTAAATGAAATCCAGTAACTGGAAGTTGAAACTAGATAAATTCAGACTTGAAATAAGGTGCATGTTTTTTACATTGAAGGTAATTAACCACTGGAACAACATATCAAAAGGTGTGGTGGATTCTCCACCACTGGCACTTCTTAAATCAAGATTGGATTTTTTAAAGATGTCCCCTAGTTCAAAGAGGAATTAATTCAGGGAAATCCTATGACCTGTGTTATACAGTAGGTCAGACTAGATAATCACTGTTGTCCCTTCTGGCCTTTTAATCTATGAATCTATCCTCTTTCTTTTTCCTTTGACTTTCTCTCCTCACGGCTATATCTTCCCTTTCTCAGGCTATATCTATACTGGTAACTGAATTTTGGTCTTTCAGGGATGTTAAGAATTACACCTTTCCCCCGAAGACAAAAGTTTTACTGAAGACAAACAACTGTGTGAATAATATTTTGTCAGTAAAAGAACACAATCACTAAATGTGTAAACATGGTGTAAACAAATAGTAGAGATCTTCACTCTTACTCCTTCCCCCGGATTTTGACCAGTCCTTATCACTGTATTGCCTTCCATTGCATTCTACCTCATTGGCCTCCCATTCCATTTGGCACTTTCCCCTTCCCAAGTCCCTTAGTATGTTTTATTTCATATTAATTCTTCCTTTCCTCCCTGATCTCTTCCATTTTTGGCCGCCTGTGATCTGATCCTCCCCATTTTCTTCTCTCAAATATAGCAGGTGATTAACTAATATGACTCCCACTGTTAAATGAATGATTCTGCTGGCTGAATTAACTTGTCATCCACTGCCATTTGATTAACTTGTGCTGTGGATATTTCATTTGAATTTTCATTTTGTCATTTAACTCCTCATTCAAGTTTAAGAAATGTAATTAATTCAGCCATTCCCTCTGAGCAGCATTTAATACAGCCCTTCCCAGTATGGCAAGTTTTCAGACATGTAACACAAAAGTTCAATTCTTTATTACCTTATACCCAGGTCTAGTTATAAGAACCCTGCCAAATATCAGTTACAATCATATGGACCAGCATTACTATTACTACTACTTAGCATTACATAACAATTTTCAGTTGTGGATCATAGTACTATCCAAAAGTGATTAAATTTTATAATCTCTAAGGGTACATCTACACTAGCCCCCTAGATCGATCTTGGGAGTCTAATGAGGGCGACCGAAATTGCAAATCAAGTCCGGGATTTAAATATCCTGCGTTTGATTTGCATGTTCCTGGCCGGTCACCCTTTTAGAAATTGTCTAGCCCGAAGTAACTGCCCTCGTCTACACGTGGCAGTGAAATGGGATTCCGATTTAAAGCTCCTAAATTGAATTAGCTGGTAAACCTCATTGCAGGAGGAATAACAGCTAATTCGAGTTAGGGCTTTAAATCAGAATCCCGTTTCACTGCCGAGTGTAGACGCAGTTACTTCGGGCTAGTCAATTTCTAAAATGGTGACCGGCCGGGAACATGCAAATCAAGCGCAGGATATTTAAATCCTGGGCTTGATTTGCAATTTCAGTCGCCCTCATTAGCCTCCCTAGATCGATCTAGAGGGCTAGTGTAGATGTACCCTAATTGACAGAAAAGGGTAAAAATTGCTCTATAAAACCTTTCCTCTCCATGATTTATCACTCCTCCAATTTCTGTGTTTTTTTTCCCAGTCATTGGGAAAAAGTTAAATATCATAGGGCCAAAAACTGGTCCCTATGGGATTCCACTTGTAACATACTTACCTAATGATGATTCTTCTTCGAGTGATGTCCCTGTGGGTGCTCCACTACAGGTGTCGGGCTCGTCCCGGCACCGCAAACCGGAAAGTTTTCGTTAGCAGTAGCCCCCTCCGGAGGACCGCGCATGTGCAGAGTGTCCCGCGGCGTTCGCGCCTTTTCTGCATCACGCGGTCCGACTCGCCAGTTCCTCCTAACCATCCACGGCCGCAGACGGATTTGGAACACGCTCCTCTTCTGAGGAGAAATCGTATCGTTATTCGTTTGTTCTTTTCCAGTTAGCCCCTTCCTACATAGTGTTAGTCAGTTATTATCTTAGTTAGTTAATTAGTAGTTAATAGTTCAAAAAAAATTTCTCTTCCCGTTAGAACCTCTGAGGGCTGCTCCGACGAGCTCCTCAAGTTCGTTCTTCCCCCGGAGACCGCCGCACTAAACATGCCTGGCTTGGTTTAAGAAATGCACTTCGTGCGGTGAAGCCATGCCGGTCTCCGATGGCCACTCCCGCTGTATTTACTGCCTGGGAGAGGGCCACATCCCCCAGAAATGTGGTCACTGTGCTAAGCTGACCGCACGCACTAGGCGTGACAGAGAAATGCGCCTGAAGATGCTACTCTTCAATAAGGCGCTTCAGCCCCCGTCAGTAGAAGAACGGGAAGCTCCGGTCCCGCATAAGTCCAAGGACGGAAGAAGCTCCGCTCCGTCCAGGAGCCTAAGTGCAGGAGAGGCACGAGGCTCGTCGGGCCACCCTCCCACACAGGGAGTGGACAAGTTACTGAAAGCCCGTGGTATATCAGCGCCAAGCCCCGCACTCTCAGTGCTCTCGGTCCCACCAGGTCACCCGGAATCGGCACCATCATCTACGGCACCGAATCTCCGAGCGGCACCGCAGCCAGATACGATGCGGTCCTCGGCACCGAGACACTTGGCACCGTTGCCTCATGAAGGCTCTCAGGCTATCCCGGCACCGAGAGTCGACCCGGCACCAAAGCCTAACCAGGCACCGAAGCCTAAGCAGGCACCGAAGACTAAGCCGCAACCAGCACAGACACTGGAGACAGCACCGAGAAAACACTCGGCACCTAGGTCATCCCGCCCCCATTCAAGACCTGGGGATGTGGCTACGTCGCACATACAGGGCATGCCTGCACCTGCCCGCACCGACCACCCATTGTGTGCGGCTGAACCAGCTCCGTCCGTTGTTTCGGCGCCGGCTCTTACGGGCCCGCAACCCCACGGCTTGGGGGATGATACGGCACTACCATCCCCATCCTCCGCACTTCGGTCACCTCGCCTCCCGGAGGAAGTTTCCGACTTTGCCTCGGTCGTCTCCATTCTGGGTAGTCCAATCCCCAGGGCTCCCCCATCCACGGGGGTACCGACTAAGGCGCAAAGAAAGACTCACCATCGCCGTACGCCTTCCCCCAGTCCCGATAGGGCGGCATTTTCCCCTGAGCCATCGCTCTCACTTTGCCAAAGATGGCGAGACCACCATTACGGTTATTCTCCTACGCACCGTTACTACAGATCCCCGAGGCGATCTATTACACCGCCGCGTTATCACCGTACATACTACTCGAGATCTCCATATCACCATTAATACCACTCACGATCCCCGTGATCTCCTCGCTCCCGTTACTATCGCCACAGGAGTGTCGCTTCTTACGCTCCGCAATATTCACACCGTGACTCTCGTTATCGTATGTACACCTCGCCCCATGGCGATCGCTCACATTCAGTTATAAGACGCTCACCCTCGTCTCCAGAGCGGCAGCAATTATTTTCACCACGACCAATGACTCAGGACTCTATCTCGCCGGCTCAATGCCCACCAACGCTTACCGGGGAAGCGTCAACAGCCACTGCACCACATGACGATATCGCTCAGTCACCTGTAGCAGAGCAACAGCCCACGGCCTCTCCGACAGATGTCTCTTCCTCTTCCCCGGACGACGCGATGTTCGATGACGAACCCTCTCTCGGATGGGTAGCATATTCACAAAACCTACGTATCTCCGAGGCGCCACAGAAGCAGCATGCCCTCTTCAGAAACTTACAACAACCCAACAAATCGAAACTAGCT